AGAATTTGGCTATACCATTTGTTTCTGTTAGCATCAGAAAACTACTCATATCGATGTCGGTTTTCGCTCTCGTGTTCTTCTATATGATACCGATTGCGTTCGTACAATCACTCGCCAATTTGGAAGGTCTCGAACGAGTTGCTCCTTTCCTAAGACCCGTCATAGAATTGTAAGTCATTATGATGCTGATATCTTGCATGTTGTTTTCTCTGTATTTTGTGCTTTATATAGATGTCCATAGATGTCCATGAGGCAGGGCGGAGATAGGGAAGCCTTCTCCATTCCTGATATATATTTTTATCTTCATATGTAAAAGAATGAAGATATGGTGGGGCAGGGCTGGGAATTGGACAGAGACGGGGATGGGGAATACAATCCCCGTCCCTAGCCCCGTAGATCTAATGGGAATAAATCTCTTCCTTTCTAACAGGAAGAATTCCGTCCCTGGGAAATGCACAGTGTTATCTCTGTATTAGTGCTCCATAGAGATATCCATAAGGCAGGGCGGAGATAAGGAAGCCTTCCCCATTCCCGATATCTATCTTTATCTTGGAGATATAGTGAACAAGGCTGGGAATTGGGCGGAGACGGGAATCCCCATCCCTAGCCCCAAATGTCTGACGGGAAGAAATCTCTTCCTACTCCTTCCCCCATTCATCGTTCAAACGGGAAAAAATCTCTCCCCATTCTCCTTTTGGAATGAGGATTCCCGCACTACTCAGGGTGAGTCCCTGCAGGGTTAATGGACACCAGCAAAATATATATATAGGGAAGCCTTCCCCATCCCGATATATATTTTTATCTTCATATGCTAGGAATTGGGCAGAAACAGGGACCAAGAATACAATCTCCGACCTTGGCCCCATATATCTAATGGGAAGAATTCCGTCCCTGGGAATTGCACATTGTTTTCTCAGAATGTGTGCTCCATAGAGATGTCCATAAGGCAGAGCAGAGATAGGGAAGCCTTTCCCATCCTTGATATATATCTTTTATCTTCATATATAAAAAATTGGAGATACGGTGGGATAGGGATGGGAATTAGATCCCGTCCCTGACCCCATCATATAACGGGAAGAAATCTTTTCCTACTCCCTCCCCCATTCCCGTTCAAACGGGAAAAAAATCTCTCCCCATTCTCATTTTGAACGGAGATTCCCGCACTACTCGGGGGTTAATGGACACTTGCAATATATATATAGGGAAGCCTTCCCCATCCACGATATCCATTTTTATCTTCTTATGCTAGGAATTTGACAGAGACGGGGATGGAGAATACAATCCCCGTCCTTGGCCCCGTAAATCTAACGGGAGGAAATCTTTCCTCACTCCCTCCCTCATTCTCCTTTTTTCAGGGATTCCCTGCACTATTCGGTGCAGATTCCTGCAGGATAAATAGACATTTCTACTGCTCGGGTTTTGATCCATTTAACTACTTTCTTGTGTTACGCAGGAAGCTCGTAAAATCGTTTCTACAGGGCTTCCTTCCTGGTTTGGCTCTCAAAATCTTTCTATTTATCCTGCCAAAAGTTCTAATGATCATGTCCAAAATTGAGGGGCATGTAGCAGTTTCTATGCTGGAAAGAAGGGCAGCGGCTAAGTACTATTACTTCATGCTGGTAAATGTGTTCTTGGGAAGTATTGTGACTGGCACAGCTTTTGAGCAACTGGATGCCTTCATTCACCAATCTCCTACACAGTAATGCCTCACCCCCTACATTCAATTATATGCATTTTACCATTATATTAAGCCTTCTTATGCAGGATTCCTCGGACGATCGGAGTCTCCATACCGATGAAGGCGACGTTCTTCATTACGTACATAATGGTCGATGGATGGGCCGGAATGGCGAGCGAGATTCTTCGATTGAAACCGTTGGTCATCTTTCATCTCAAAAATCTTTTTTTGGTGAAAACTGATAGAGATAGAGAGAAGGCAATGAACCCAAAAGGTGTGGATTTTCCTGAAACTTTACCAACCTTACAATTGTACTTTCTACTCGGAATTGTCTACGCCGTCGTCACCCCGATTCTTCTCCCGTTTATACTCATCTTCTTCGCGTTTGCATACTTGGTTTACCGACATCAGGTTCGTTATCTAGTACTCGAGTTATTTGATTATTCAGTATTCTCATTGTACTCATTAGAAAGAGCAAAAGTACTCGAGCACACTTAGAGATGTCCGTTTACCCGCAAGGACCTGTAGGGACCCGCCCCGAACACGGCAAGGAATCCCTACCAAAACTGAGAATAGTACACACTTAGAGATGTTCATTTACCCTACAAGGTCCTGTAGGGACTTGCCCCGAACAGGGCAAAGAATCCCTATTTAAATTGAGAATGAAGAGATAGTGGGGGAGAGATTCCTTCCTATTAGATAAATTAGCCCGGGAAATAGGATTGTATTCTCCGTCCCTGTCCCGTGGACATCTCTAGGCACACTTTAATACATATTTTCTCTTGTTGTGATCACGAAGTAACCTGAATTTTTGGGTTGGGTTGGGTTACCAATCCAACCAACCCGAACTTTTGGGATGATCCAAAAAAATTTCTCAACCCAACCCAACTTGGACCATTTACACCCATACCGGGAACTAGGATTGTATTCTCCTTCTACCTCCTGCCCTGTCCTTGTACCGTGGACATCTCTAGGCACACTTCAATACATAGTTTCTCTTATTATTGTGACCGTGAAGTAACCCAAACTTTTGGGTTGGGTTACCAATCCAACCAACATGAACTTTTGGGTTGGTCCAAAAAATTCGCTCAACCCAACTCAACTCGGATCATGTACACCCCTATCGGGAATTAGGATTGCATTCTCTATCTACCCCCTATCCTGTCCCTGTCCTTGTCCCTGTCCCGTGGACATCTCTAAGCACACTTCAATACTTATTTTTTCTCTCATTGTTGTGATCACGAAGTAACACGGTTGACGTACTCGGTCTTTCTCAATCCCATTGTTTTTTGTCTTGCTATCATGCATCGTAAATGCTGGTTTATACATGCAGATCATCAATGTATATAATCAGCAATATGAGAGTGTTGGTGCCTTTTGGCCCCATGTCCATGGCCGCATCATAGCAAGCTTGTTGATATCTCAGTTACTTTTATTGGGTTTGCTCAGTACAAAAAAGGCTGCCAATTCTACTCCCTTGCTCGTCGCCTTACCGATATTGACATTGTTCTTCCACAAGTACTGCAAGAACCGGTTCGAACCCGCCTTTCGTAAATACCCTCTCGAGGTAAATTCTAAGCTCTTCAAGTCTAGAACAATTTCATATGTTTAAAGATATCGTTAATATTTTGTTTCAAAAATACCCTTAAAATTTTTAAATTATTTTGAAAATTTGAAGCTGTTTAAAAAATCGTTAGTATATTAACGAAATCGTTGATGAACTTTTAAGATATCATTTTGGCCCCTATATTTTAAGAGTAACAATTTTCCAACCTTTTTAGCATGTTATTTGTGCATTTTGCAAACCACTAGTATAATCGCATCAAGTTTATAGATATAAAAGGTTAATTTTATTTCTAGGTGTGACTATAACAACCACAAAACTTTGAGGGAGCTTTCACGATTTTCCGTAAAGTTACATATTCTATTGTTTTCTTTTGCTCGTTTAGGAAGCAATGGCCAAAGATACAATGGAGCGGAGCACGGAACCCAACCTCGACGTAAAAGCATTCTTATCAGATGCTTACTTGCATCCAATTTTCAGGTCGGTAGAGGAAGAAGAATTAACCGAGATTAAAGTTGAGAAACAAAAATCTCCCATACAAGAAGCAACTCATTCATGAGAGCGAAGATCTTTCTCGATAAGTAGAAAAAAAAAAAACTTATTTTTAACCATGACCAAAACCAAACCAATTCGAAAATAACTCAGGTGACAAACTACTAACTACCGTTCCAAAAGTCGATACGGTTCAATCCTCCACCCGACCATTGTTGAACTAAAAAATTCAAATTTCTCGACTCACACAAACCGGGTCGACTTTTTAAGCCTTTGCCGATTGAGTTTGAGCTTGAGATAGTTGTTTGGAGGCTATAATTTGGTGATAAAGGTCTCTAATTTTCAAGCCAATGATGGTCTGAAAAAGGCCTGTTCCATTATTGCTTCCTGGAAATTCAGAATGCTCCAATATTTGTTGTGTAATTTCACCATAAAATTTGGTGGAAATGTTGCTTAGATGGCTCTCTACATATATAAGCTCATCCAATTTATCAAATTGCCCATCCATCTCCAACACAGTTACCTGAAAATTACCATCAAAACCGACCGTCATCAGTGAATTTACGATATCATACAGGCGCATGAGTTGGTTTGTGTCGGGTTTTCATCCAAATTAATATTATAAATGATAGATCAAAATCCTCGTTAAGGACTTAATTGTAAAATTTCATAAATTTAGAAAGGTGACTAGTGAAAAAGCTTGTAATTATAATTAAACATTCCCGTTTTAAACTTTAGTTTAAAATTTATAATAATTTAATCCATACCTTAAAAATTTTCATCAAAATTAAATCGATACAAATTTTAAAATATGATAATCAATGTATTTGGCATAAAATAATAGAGACTAAATTGTTAGTTAATAAATAAATAAATAAACATATATATCTATATATATATATAATTTCTTAAGTCTCAAATAAGCTTTTAAATTTTAAATTTTGTCTTTAATAAATCTTTGATAATAAAAATTTTTAAAAATTAATTAATATATTAAACATAAAATTAATTCTCAGAGTAACAAAACCCTAACCATAAATTTTTAAAAAAAACCATAAATTTGAAATTTTAATAATTTATTATTTATAAATTTAAAAAATAAATTTATTAGATATTTTTTTTAAGGTTGAGAGATACCAACCTAAAAAATAAATTTATTTTTGAAAATTTGTCCAAAATTTAAACATGAAATTACTAATTTACCCCTGAAAAAAGAGAGCAAAAATTCTTAAGTTCTTGCATGAAATGCATGAGTTAGGAAGATATTACCTCATGACCGAAGTAAGTTTCAGGGCCACAGGATAGTCTGATTCCAGGATAAGAACATGTAAGCTTTCTCCCACAAGGAATCCACGAGATCGTGGAGCCTTCATCGAACAGGTAAACTGGATTGAAATGCTCGATTCCTTCTCTCATTATCAATCTAACCCTAAGAATTTTCCCTTCGTAGTCATTTGGAATCAATCGCGTCGGCAGCACTTCGATCACCGCATCGGCGAATTGCTTCTGCGGATCTAAATCCGACAACAAAAATCGAAGAATCGCACTCAGATTCAAGTAAGTTATTCCTAATTTCTTTCTTGAATCTTGTTAGCTATGGCGGATTTTGAATTTCTGAAGCTTAATTATTACCGATATACGCGTCGAAATCTGGCTTTCGCGCTTCGATGCTTGCTTTGATACTCTCGAGGCTGTGACCTCTCTCTGCCATGTCTCTCTGCAATCGTTTTGATTTCAATTTCTAATTGGAGATGTTGTGATTTAGAATGCTCTGCCTGCTAATTCATATTGTATTTGATCAATGTATACCTGAATCTTCCAAGCGAATTTGACCTCGTTGCTGATATCCAAGTAAATGCTGAAATCTAACAGATCCCTAACTCGTGAATCATACCTGCATAAACATAGCTTCAATGCATGAAATTTCATAAAATTTTAAAATGGAATGGTTTGATTGAGCAGATAACAGAGAATAAGGAAACATACGAAGATTCAAAGGGGAAAACACTCTTCGTTTCAAATAATCCCTTCATAAGTAGGCGGAAAGCTAGATTTGGATAGAAAATAACAAAAAACATATGGAAATGCAAAGAGTTGAAAATTCTTCACTTCAATTGATCCCTTCACAAGAACTGAATGCAGGACGAAGAACAAGGAAGTTGTAAAAATGAATATATCTATTCTATTAATTTCACCTCTTTTCTCAAGAAAGAAAGGAAAATCAGATTGGAGAAGTTTAGTTGAACACAACTCTTAGCAAATACTCATATTCTTCGTTAAGACCAATCGAGAAGAGATTACAAAGACACTCTGTAGAATATTACTACACTTTGCTCTGTATTTCTTTTGGGATGAAAAAATTGGTAGGTTGAAGGGATATTTATGTGGGAAACACTCGCCCTCTTTATTAAGACCAATCGATAAAAGATTACAAGACACTTTGTAGAATACTACTACACTTTGCTCTGTATTTCTTTTGGGATGAAAACATTGGTAGGGTGGAGGGGTATTTATAGCAAAGGCTAGACAATTTATTCCGAAAATATCTGACTATCTATTCCGAAAATACCTGAATCATTTTCCTAAAATGCATAGACAATTGGCTCATACGATTATTGGGCATGACCTTATTGGCCTAGTGATGATATTTTAATAGTTTATGTCTCAACATATCACACATAGATATTGAGAACACGCCTAGAGTTATCTGTATTTCATAACTAATTGATTAAGCAGCAGCTCATAGACGACCGAAAAAGGAATATTTATGATTGGATTCCGTAAATAACTTACATTGGGTGTAGGCCTTCAATGACAAGGATCTTAGGGGGCTTAATAAGCTCAGGTGGATCTAGCAGACCTGTGACATGATTATAAATAGGCTTCTCAACAGCAATTCCATCTTTGAGAGCCTTAACTTGTTCATACATGAGATCAAAATCATTGGCTCTTGGGTCAAGTGCAGTAACTCCCTTCTCTTTTCTTCCAGTTCTATCCAACGAATGGTAATCATCTAAACATATCACAGTTGTAGTGTCACTTATGAGTGTATTGGAGTCTGGATTTCCACCTCTTGGTGGCTTTGCTGCACCTCCAAACACACTGGTTAGCCTCCTCATGAAAGTGCTCTTCCCACACCCCGAATCTGCTGCTAGACCTATCACGACTGTCTGTTGGTCGCCTGCTGAGCAGGTTATCAGCCATGGGGTTGTGCTGGCTTTGCCTCTCTTGCTGGCTTGTTTGCCTGTTGTGAAGACAATTACCTGTTCTTGGTGACGTCCTAAGCTTGTTCTTGATGAAGAGAAGACTGAATTTGTGTAGTTTAGGGGCTTGGCTGTAGAGATTGTTGCCATTCTCTGAACTTGGATCTTTGGCTACTCTAGATTTGTGTTGTGAAGCATAGAATAGGTTTGGCCTTCTCCTTTCCTTTCCCTTTTCCCTTGCAGAGGAAATATTTAGAGCTCAAAGATTAAGATGGATCAAGAAAACAGAGAATAGTTTGAAAAATATGTTAACTTACTGACAAGTTTCTTCAACTACCCCTGATTTTCCTTGTTAATTTTGAGTTGGAAGAGGGGTAAAACTGTAATTTCCTAGTTGTTTTTTCCTATGAGAATTTGAAATGTTGGATTTCTGATTGAAGATGGAGTTCTTGATGAGGTGATGAGAGGAACTTTGTGGTGGATTTCATTCAGTTTTTGATATTTTGGACCCCACGTGGCAGTGGCTGATTGGATGGTTATGGATGAGGAGTGAGAGGTGTAGAATGGAGAAGAGGTGAAAACTCTGAAATCCAATTTATTCAATCTTTTTGGCTCTTTGAATTGTACAGGGTATAACTTATATACTCAATTTATAAAGTACGAAGAAAAAAAACATATTCATAAGATTAGAAAATATTTTGTTTGAATAATTAAATTAGAAACTATATATTTGAATAATTAAAAGACTATGGAGAGCTACAATAAATAATCTTAAGAATGGCCAAACAAAAAAAACAAAAGCAATTTCCCGCAAAACCATATATTTATATAATCAAGTTTAGAAAATCCACATCTTCCTCTGAGCTCAATAAAAAAGAACAAAAAAAAACTACCAACGTCCTAAAATTACAGGGACCATACTCCCAAAAGATTTAAACCACCGCTGCAACATCGCCCGTTGCTTAATAATAAGCTAAGCTTTCTCACTTCATCACTTGTTTCCCCTAAAATACAAATAGATTTTCTGTCCAAAAAAATACAAAGCTTATAAATGAATATATTCTGTGCATTTTATTTATTGAGAGGAGGAAAGAATGCAGAAGGAAAAAATAAATAATAAATTACGATTCTAAAATAAAATCGTGTTTATAAGATTAATTTTCGAACGAAAATGTCTTACCTGAAGAACCCATAAACTAAGAAGTGATTCCAAGCAAAAAAAGGCAAATCCAATGAGGTAGAATATCTGATAAAAAGAAAAAAAATAGTCAAACTTGGAAGAGCACAACCGCTAACAAATAATATGAATCTGATTTTCAGTTACATTTATGTTTTATTCAACGTTCAAATAATGGTTCTATTGTTACTCAATCATTTAATACCGACGAAAAGTAACTAATTGTATCTGTGGCTATCCTAGAAGAACCAGCGGTTCAAAATACATTTATCAATTTCTCTCTCCATTTAAAACCATTGTTCCAGCAATACCCAATAATCTCAACATACGTACAAACCCACACTATTGCTATTGCAAGAAACCTATAGTGAAACTGCATGTGCTTATGCTAAAATAATGACTAGCCAGAGAGTCAAGACAGAGTAAGATAGTTTAAATTCGATTTTTAAACATGATGTTCGCCATTCTATCATGGTGAAAAATGAACAGATCCTCCATTTCTCTATATAAATAAGTAAAGAGCGGGTTTACGAGATTTGTAGTCATGTATTCTTATCTATTCGAAACTTACCCCAACCAAGACATGTTGAGAGAAGACGTCAATTGCTGCTAAGATGCCCCTGAAAATGTTTGAAGGATGTATTTAGCACAAGGCAAGCAGAATGGAAGAAAGAAAAAAAAAGCTTAAAGAAGAAACTTTGATATGTTGGCAGAAGAATGAAAACTCATTTCATGAACATTTTAAAAGCTTAAAATGAAATGATAGCCATAAACTTACGTCAATGACTGCCCATGAAACACAACTGGGGGCGCAATGGCAGCAAAAACGCAGAATAAGATATGTATCTGAAAGGTGGTAGAAACTCAATTAATTGAGTACTAAGGGATTAAAAAATATATGTATTATGGAAAAAAAGAAAAAAATCATGAGAGAATTTAGTATTTGACCCCGTAGAACATGAAGAACCAACCAAAATTCAAGGCACTATCTGTCCTGCAAGTTGATAAAATGAGAAATCCAAAATAGTATCAGCAGTCAGCATAATGTCTACAGAGTACAATAATGAGAAAAAGAAACAATAGAGATTAAACGAGAGACGAGGAAAAGAGAGGGAAGGCGAGTACGAGGCAGAGGGAAGAAACCCAATAAAGGAGAGCTTCTTAACCCATTTGAATGAAATATAGAGATTATTCGACCTCACCTCATAGCACGGTATAGAGGCCTATACCATAGCACATATGAAAGAGGAATTCCAAGTATGGCATATATTACAGCAAGTAAAAAGATTGTGACTCCTGCAAGTTGTGACAACAGTAAAAAAAAAATCCATTTGTTGCAGCTTAAAGTGACCCATTGCACAAAAAATAGAAAACTGATAGTGAAGTAATTACCCCCGCCTCTTATCCAGCAGACAGTTATAGCAATAACATTGAAGACCAAGCACAACCCTATGCCTGCAAAAACAGCAAGGGATAAAATGTAGAGTTAAAAATAACTACGTTCATATGGTTTGAAAAGATAATGTCGGGGACGAGACGCTAAGTGAGGCAAGAAGAACTTAAGTGAGGTGAAGAACATCATATACATATAGAAAAGCAACACTTTCAAGAATGTTTATGTAACAGCTCAAGCCCACCGCCAATAAATATTGTCTTCTTTGGACTTTCCCTTCTGGGCTTCCCCTCAAAGTTTTAAAACGCGTCTACTAAGGAGAGGTTTTCATACTCTTGTAAAGAATGCTTCATGCCCCTCTCCAACCGACGTGGGATCTCACAATCCCCCCCCCCCCAAGTCCAATGTCCTTGCTGGCACTCGTTCCCCTCTCCAATCGATGTGTTTGTAACCGCTCAAGCCTACCGCTAACAGATATTGTCCTCTTTGGGCTTCCCCTCAAGGTTTTTAAAACGTGTCTACTAGAGAGAGGTTGTCACACCCTTATAAAGAATGTTTCGTTCCCCTCTCCAACCGATGTAGGATCTCACAATTTATACTCAAATATTTGGATATAAAGTTTATACAAAAAAGAATTGAGACAATTAACTTTGCATACCTAGCCAGCTAGCGAAAGCCAAGTACTGCAACTTCTGAGCATGTACCGGAATTTCATTAGCTATATCATGATGAATAATGGGGAAAAATGGAGGCCAGTTTCTATCATCAGTAGGGACACCAGCTGTGCAACATTGAAAAAGTTATAGATTGTCGATAGCTTCATAAAAACAAAATCAAACAACATTTGATGTCAACCACCTTTAGAAACAGCTTCTTCCCTCTTTTTGATTTCCTGGTAAAAATGAGGCATAAGAACAGTTAGGTAACCTCTACAGATATATTCATATATTGTCAAGTTCAAAATCATGGATATCGAAGAATACCTTTTCTTTCCTATTAAGTTCTGCTTCCCAAGCGGCAATGTCTCTCTCATTCTTCCTCAGATTCTACACGAACCAAATGAAGCGTTACTTGATTCTTCTAGGTAAAGAAAATGTAAGCAAGAAAAGACAGGACATGATATTCGTTACATTCATCGTATCCAGTGGTATATCCACTGTAGCATCCTGCTTCTGCCCAAATCCCAGAGTGTCCGATATCATTTGTGGGATCCGAAACTTAGATCCAGGAGCAGCATTGTCTTTCTGCAAATGTCAAAATTAGCAACAAGTGATGTTATTACCATTCCAATCCCCATAGAACAAGCTTGATTTTGCTTGTTTTTAGTTTCAGATATCAAAGAACGCCCGTGAAATTGTCAATAATCAACAAACGGTTGATTTCATTTATGCATATTCAACTAACAATTCCACACAGATTGTAATGACACTCATTCTCAATCGGAAATGGTGAAATCATCTTCCTTAGGACTCCAAAACGTAAGTCTACTTTTAGTGCCGTTCAACCTTTAAACATTAATTTCTACTCCACCCTTAAACAAACTGTTGAGGATGGTTGGAAGAGGAGTCCACGTCGGCAGCTAATTAAGGGGTTGATAGTGGGTTTATAAGTAAGAAATACATCTCCATTGGTACGAGGCCTTTTGGGGAAGTTAAAAACAAAGTCATGAGAGCTTATGCTCAAAGTGGACAATATCATACCATTGTGGAGAGTTGTGATTTCACCAACTTCTAACATGGTATCAGAGTCATGCCCTTAACTTAGCCATGTCAATAGAATCCTCAAATGTCGAACAAAGAAGTTGAGACCCTCAAAAGTGTAGTCAAAAGTGACTCAAGTGTCGAACAGAAGGTGTACTTTGTTCAAGAGCTCCAGAGGAGTCGAGCCTCGATTAAGGGGAGGTTGTTCGAGGGCTCCATAGACCTCAAGGGAGGCTCTATGGTGTACTTTGTTCGAGTTCAAGGTGAGGATTGTTGGAAGAGGAGTCCCACATCGGCTAATTAAGAGGTTGATCCTGGGTTTATAAGTAAGGAATACATCTCCATTTCCATTGATATCATACCATTATGGAGAGGGTCGATCCTGAGTTTATAAGTAAAGAATGCATCTCCATTGACATCATACCATTATAGAGAGGGTCGATCTTGAGTTTATAAGTAAGGAAAGCATCTCCATTGACATCATACCATTATGGAGATGGTCGATCTTGAGTTTATATGTAAGGAATGCATCTCCATTGACATCACACCATTATGGAGATGGTCGATCTTGAGTTTATAAGTAAGGAATGCATCTCCATTGATATCATACCATTATGGAGATGGTCGATCTTGAGTTTATAAGTAAGGAATGCATCTCCATTGATATCATACCATTATGGAGAGGGTCGATCTTGAGTTTATAAGTAAGGAATGCATCTCCATTGACATCACACCATTATGGGGAGGGTCGATCTTGAGTTTATAAGTAAGAAATGCATTTCCATTGACACCATACCATTATGGAGATGGTCGATCTTGAGTTTATAAGTAAGAAATGCATCTCCATTGATATCATACCATTATGGAGATGGTCACCATGATGGAGAGGGTCGATCTTGAGTTTATAAGTAAGGAATGCATCTCCATTGATATCATACCATTATGGAGAGGGTCGATCTTGAGTTTATAAGTAAGGAATGCATCTCCATTGACATCATACCATTATGGAGAGGGTCGATCTTAAGTTTATAAGTAAGGAATGCATCTCCATTGATATCATACCATTAGGGAGGCCATGATTTTCAACACTTCAAATGTTCCACACCGCCCTTGTTCATTCTCCCACGAAATTTCTCAGCAGCCATAAACTAACCGTATTCCACCAAATTTAGCAAGATTTCCCTAAGATTCAGATCAATCCAACAACCTCACTCTCGCCCCCTCGAGACTCAAAAATAGGAACAGAACCCGATCGCGACACTCGCCGAATGAAAATCGCCGAAACAAGAAACGAAAATGCGAAAAAAAAAAAACAATGAGATGCAAATATCTAAAAGAAACTGAGATTTAGCCACGAAAGAAAGAGAAACTTACCGAGAATGGATTGACCTCTCCTTCATCGAACGGATTTGGATCATTGTGGCGATTCATAGCGATTCTTCAGAACCCTAAAATCGAGCAATTTGTTTCGAGAGAAAAGAGAAATGAGAGAAAACGGTGGGTAGCAGTGATGGAGTTGAGTGATGGTTTCTTCTTTGCAGCGCCTTTTTATTATCGGTGCTTGTTCGCTACGCGGGATCTGACTTGGAAATTCTAACCAATAATTCTTTTTTGAATTTATATTTTATTATTTTTATCATTTCAAACTTAATTTAAAATTTAAAATTTTGAATTTGAATTTCGCACTCTTCCAAAAAAGTTCCCTAAACTTTTGTTTACACTTTCTCATTTTTGGCCCTTTGTTTCCATTTTTTCTCATTTTTGGCCCTTTATTTCCTCTTTTTTTTTTTTCATTTTTGGCCCTTATACTGTTTAAATATTTTATTTTAACCCTCTAATTTTTAAGGATTTTAAAATTAAATTTATTAAAAGTTGTTTTTATATAACCATTTTATTGCCTAATATTACACTTTTAAATATTATTTTGATTCAAAACTAATTTTGAATAATTATATATGTTCGGTTATTTGGTAGTTTTAACTATTTTAAAATCAATTCCAAACATCGTATGATTTTAGTTAAATTATAATTTTAATCATTTAATCTCAACATTAACTTTATTTAATTTGTTTAATTTTAAAAAATTATATTTATAGGCTTTTTAGTCATCACTAACCAAATATTAACCTAACAAGGCTATTTTTAATATTATCTTTGGAAGTTTGCAATTAATTTTTTATGAAAATAGTAAATATCTTGTTTAAAAAATAATATTGAATTTTTAAAAATGTTTAAAAATTATTTTTAAATGTTCAAAAAATTTATTAAAGATTAAAAATGAAAAATATTAATTAATAGAGCATTTAATAAACAGGAAAAAGTGAAAAAATGAAAAATTGTCGGTAGAAACAGTTTTTGTTCTTATATTAATGATAATAAAATTTAATTACCTTTAAAAGTTAAAAGTAATGGTACTGTTTTGTTTTTTTTAGTTTATGGGTATTTTTTAAACGTATTTTTTTAATTATTTTAAAAAAAATTAATAGTCGATAAAATATTTTAAAATTTTAGAGTATTTTTTAATTATTTTATTAAAAAGTTGAAAAGTATTAACTTTTCAAATTTTATTTAAAATTATTTTTGAAATTGAACGTTTTTTTTAATAAATACTTTATTTTTTACGGATAAAAATGATGTTATTAAAATATTTGAAAATTTAATAATATTTTTTTGTAGAAGAAACACAAAATTCAATAATTTTCATATAAAAACTAAAAAATTTAACAATTAAATATTAATGAGAGAAATTATTGTTATTTTTTACTGATATTATTATATATATATATATATATATATAATTTTTTTTTTCCCTTTTTTTGCGTTAAAAAGTCGTTCTTTGGGAGTTCAATGCCTTCCATCAGACCGACCTCTCTACATTCTTCACGGCTTTATCATTACACTGTTGATTTCGTGAAGCAAATCCGTTCGATTTTACAACAAAAACACACGAAAGAATCAAATCCAAAAACTCCATTGTTCTTCATTTTCCAATTCGACCAATTTCTTCTTCTTTCTCCTCCTCTCTCTCTTCAATTCAAGAGAGAGAAGGCGATTTCTGTTTCTCCACTGGACCAGTCGAGATCCGATCCTTATCGGGTTTGAAAAAACTTGGACTCTTGTGTTTGTCTGTGGCTTTTGGACTATTTTAGAGAGAGAAGTAGAGAGACTCTTTGAAGTGTGAAGAGAGAGAGGAGAGTTTATAGGGCAAAGAGCGGCGAGATCTCAATACTCGTTACGTTTTTGCGAGTATTTTTTGTTTTGGGCATTTTGTCGAACAGATGGTGGGCATTTTTTCAAGGTTTTCTTCTAGCAGAACAGGGCATCGACGAGCTCAAAGTGCGCTTGTAAGTACTTTTTGTTTTCTTTTTTTAATCTCTATATGGCGAATGAAGATTGATCTTACTTGTTCATCTATTTCGAATTTGTGTACTGCGTTGAGTTCGTCGTTTTCGAAGTTATGTATCTCGCGATTGAGATTGTTGATTCTGTTTCTGAAGAATCTGAACTTATTCGTCGAAACGTTCAAATAATTTTGGTTTCCTGGTTCTTCATGGCTGCTGGATTGGTTAATTTTTGATAAATTGGAATCTTACCTCCCTTGTGGTGGAGAATACGATTCTTTGGGGCCATTTTTTTTTTGTAGAATTATCCCAAACTCGAATCTATTGCTGATTTTGGACTCTTTTTTTGTATGTATAAAATCATAAACTTTGTTGATTCCATAGTAGTGGACATATTTAGCTTTTATGCTTCTGATTTCCATGGCTGTTTCTGAAATCTTATCATATTTGCTACTTTACTTGTCCTGTTTTACTTTGAAACTTTGATGGAGGTCAGTAAATTATCATCTGAGCCAATGTTTTTCTCTACTTTTTAGATTTGTTTTACATTTAGTTCAAGATATTGGGTGGTTTTGATGCTTATAAAGTGTGTTTTTCTGATGCAGGATGGGAAAGGACTGCCTCCAAACCCTGAGAATACTGGTGTTAGTGCAACCCCTGCTGCTGTTTCTCATGGAATTGAAGTAGCAGTCGAGTTTAAGCCTGTTGAACACCCGATCGAGCCTCACGACAACGATAAGCCAATTCAGTGCCCGTTGCCTGAACCGTCTATTCTGAATGTAAGCTCCCGAATCGATCTTCTTTCTCAATTTTGTCAGTTTTGTCTGGTTAATTATGTATCTGAGTTGCATTGTTGCATATATTGATGTATATATGTCCAAGGGTGAAAAGGTCATGTAACAGCCCAAACCCACCGCTAGCAAATATTGTCGTTTTTGGGTTTTCCGTTTCGAGTTTCTCCTCAAGGTTTTTAAAACGCATCTTCTAGGGAGAGGTTTCCACATCCTTATAAAAAATGTTTCATTCTCCTGCCCAAACCGATGTGGGATTTCAAAATCCACCCCATTTCGAGGCCTAGCATCTTCACTTGCACTCATTTCCTTCTCCAATCAATGCAAGACCCCTCCAATCCACCTCCTTCGGAGCCTAGCGTCCTTACTGGCACACCGCTTCATGTCCACCTCTCTTTGGGGCCTAGCCTCCTCGGTGGCACATCGCCTAGTATCTGGCTCTGATACCATTTGTAACAGCTCAAGTTGAGCTAGCAAATATTGTCCTTTTTGGGCTTTCCCTTTCGGGCTTCCACTCAAGATTTTTAAAACCCCTCATCCAGGGAGAGATTTCCACACCTTTATGAAGAATGTTTCGTTCTCCTCCCCAACCGATTGGAATCTCACAGGTCAAGTGTTTGACAGGTCGAGTCATTTATTCGTCGATTCATTTTAGGAAATCTGTTCACGATTTTAAAGATGAGATTTAGAACTGTACAAGAAGCCAGTAGAGATGTTTCTGTATTGTCCAGAGCAAAACTTATTGCATAAAATCATCAGTTCCACCTAAACCAACCTTTCCTTATTAATTTACCAAACTTATCAGTGAAAGTTGTAGGTTTTATGATATATCTTGAGAATCTGATTTTGAACTGCTCAAACACTAGGATGGAAGAATATGGAAGGAACGAGTATCGAGTATACGAAAACTGCCAGATTTGCCTGTAATGAAAGAAGCAGAAGTCGGTGACACGAGACCACGGGCCACACGAACAATCTTACCATCCATCAGCGCTCCCGAACACAACATCCTAAACCTGCTCAAGGAATCCGGGATGTAGCATAACTAGTTGTGTTCTCATCTGGAATTTAGAGTTCCCTATACAATATTTTCTAAAGTTTGCACCCTCCTTCCAGATTTTTACCTTTATTGTTTTTCCATGTACAATAATAGCATGTCACAGGTTCAGTGTTTACATAATATATCAAAAGTTTAGCCTTCAGTGTTATCTCTGCTAGTTTTGTTGTTCAGGTACTATTTCGTCATCGAGATCCCGAAAGTCGAGGAAGAGCCATTCCGAAAAGTTGCTTTCCCTTTTCAATGTCTCAATATTTCCTTAGGAAACAATATCAAGACTTGAGTTTCAAAGAACAAGAGCCTGTAGCACTTGTACATACGGACTTAAAACTGAAACCCGAATAGGACTGTTTGAAGCACATGCGTACAAAAACTGAGTCACGTCAATATTTTTTGACATTGTTGCTAGGAACGTTCGAATCCGATGGCTCTGACATGCATGATCAGTAACCAACACTCAAAAATGGTTTTGCTCCTGACCAATTTTCGTTCGACCAACGTCGGGTACCATCAGCAGCTTTTCGTTTGCGTTCTTAGACAGCTCCAAAAAACTGCTTTCTCATTTCAATGTCTCAATATTCCCTTAGGAAACAGTACCATAACTTGAGTTTCAAAGAAAAAAAACTTGTAGCACTATATGTATGCGCTTAAAACCGAAACCCTAATACGGAAACTCAATTCTTCAACTTTATGTATCATATCTATTAGTTTTATTGTTCAAGTACTATTTTGTCATCGAGATCCCAAAAGCCGAAGAAGAACATTCGAGCATTCGAGAGTGGGGATTATTGGTTCGGCATTGCACGATTCATGTTAGGTAAATACAACTCACCTTCACATGGCTCAAAATTACCAAATTCTCTTGTGTAAAATATTCCAATTTTTTGGTAATTTTCTCTAAGGATTAAGTAAATAAATAAACATTTAATCTTTTTTTATTTTTTTTACCCAAAATATTAAAAAGTAAAAAATTGACGGTGATATGGCCAAACCCGACCCAACAACCCATCACGGAGTCGGGTCGGTTCATTCCCAACCCGACTCCATAAAGCCTCTCTCTCGTCTAAAGCTTCCTCTGCTTTTCTATTCTTTTCTTTGAGAACAAGAAAAAGAGAAGAGGAAGAGGCACGAATTATATAAATCATTGGAGTTCTCTTTCTTGTCTCCTTCCGAGAATCCATAGCCGGAGTAGCCATGGCCGCTTTGCAGTACCTCGATTCTCTTCGCAACTCGCATCCTGAGCTCGCTGAATGGTACAATTCGCTAGCAGATCTGTACCAGAAGAAGCTTTGGCATCAGCTCACACTTAAGCTTGAGCAGTTCGTCGCTCTGACGGTCTTCCAGGTGTGTTTTCTCAACTTACCACGTTTTCGATGAATGTATTGACATTTCGATTTCATGAAGTGTGTGCTGGTATTTTAGCTTTTAGATGCTTTGATTTTTAGATGGATACTGTTAGGGTTTTGTGTCTGGGAATGTTAAGATTGAATTTGTGATGGCGAAATGGATGGCGAACTTAGGGTTCTTTTGACGGAGAAGATCGCGGGGGTTGAAACTTCGAGGGGTTTTGCTTACAGTGGTTCGTTTAGCCTACTGGATTTCGTATTCGACTCCCGATTGGATTCAGAGTTGTCGAAATCTAAACTACGGTAGAAGTTTCCCCTTGTTTATATCTGTAATATGGGCAAACTAGTTAAACAGATCGACTGAATACGGGGTGGTTAGTTGGAGAATTAATCATCTGTTTGAGGTGACTTGTGACTAATTTACTCATTTCTGGGACTGGATTGAGTAGGTTAAGTTTTTTTGTTTCACTGAAGTAGATCAAGAAGTTTTGTGTTCCAATCTTTGCCTCATAATTTTCTCTCCATTTCATGTTCATAACCTGCCTGTTAGATCTATTTGAGAGAGAGATGTTGAGGCATTAACCGAAAGGCCAAAGTCACCTTTGTCACCATCAACATCTTAAGCTTTGGGGCTCGGCAATCTAACGTGCACTATCTGGATTTGAAGTTAACACTGTAGATTGGAGAATTAGATAGTAAGCATGAACTGGGTCTTTGTTACTACCTGAGTATGACTTCCCTGATTTATCCCATTTCTTAAAGAATACGACCTCGGAATAATTAGAATTAAGGAGAGGATAATTGCTACATTCATCGGGTACTGATTTCGGTCTATCTAGAGCCGAAATAATTTTAAATTAGTTCGAGCTAGCTAATATATGTTTTATCTCTGGTGAATCCTTGTATATTTGAACATGCTTTACCTACCTGCCTTTATGCAGAAACCTCAAGTTCAATTAATATTTTTTTTATGGTTAAATGTTCAGGCTGGTGATGCACTGATTCAGTTGTATCACAACTTCATCACTGATTTTGAGACCAAAATCAATCTTCTCAAGCTTGCACATTTTGCTGTGATTGTTTCTCGGCAATATGCTGAGAAAGAAGCTGCCATTAGTTATCTTGAAGGGATAATCGAGAAACTGAGGAGCACTAAAGAGCACCGCATAGAGGAGCCTATCCTTTATATTAAGATGCAAATAGCTATTTTTAAGCTTGAGCAAGGTGACCGAAAAGAGTGCAAGAAACTTTTGGAAGATGGAAAGAGCACTCTTGACAGCATGACTGACATTGATCCATCTGTTTATGCTAGCTATTACTGGGTTTCATCTCAATTTTACAAGTTCCGCCAAGAATTTGCTGAGTTCTATAAAAGTGCTCTTCTTTATCTCGCATATACTTCAGTGGAATCACTCTCAGACTCATTTAAATTGGTATGGCGAATAGTTTCTTTCTTTATGTACAGTTAAACTTTTCTTTCTATTTCTTCTTTTTTTTTCCCCTTTCAAATAAGAAATAACTCATTTCATAAATCCAATTGCCCGTCGATCGGTACTTATCCGCTATCCATATTTGGTTCATGTTCATTATTTAAATTATTGCTCGTCGTCGTGCCTGCAGGATTTGGCCTTTGATTTGTCTCTTTCTGCACTTTGGGGAGATAACATCTACAACTTTGGAGAGCTTCTTGCACATCCTATTGTAAGAATTTGCACCGTAGTTCATTATTATTTTGCTATCTCATTGTTTAATAATTTTATGTCACCTCTGAGTGCTTGTTTCTTTATTGGTCTTTTCTCCTTGAGGTGGAGTAATAAACATAAATATCACTCAGTTTTTTCAATAAATAATTTAGTTCGAGTGCAAATACAACGATCTTTGTACTTATAACGTGATTAACAATGGCTGCAACAATTGGTATCTCTATGTAGATATTGTAGCCCGTGCCTAATCTTTTTGTCTCTATTTATTTTGTCGACTTCAAACCTGATGTGTGTGTGTAACTTTTTGTCTCTTCAGATCAAAAGTCTGTTGGGCACAAAGGTCGAGTGGCTTTACTACATTCTTCAGGCATTCAATGCTGGTGATTTAGTTCGCTATCAAGAATTATGCCAAGTCCATAATGCAGCTTTAAGGGCTCAACCGGCTTTAGTTGAAAATGAAAAGAAACTATTGGAGAAAATCAATATTCTCTGCCTCATGGAAATTATCTTCAGGCATGCAGGCCTTGCTCCTTTCTCTGCTTGATATCTGCCAAATACCTTGATTTTCTGTATCATTTTTGTGCTAATTTGATTTTATTGCAGCCGGCCATCTGAAGATCGAACCATTCCATTGAAGGTTATAGCAGAACGAACAAAACTCTCTATTGAGGATGTGGAGCATCTACTAATGAAGAGCCTGTCTGTAAGTTTCACTTATAGTTCTTTTTCACAAGAATGTTCGTTTCAAATTTGTCCATGGCTTTGGTCACTTCAAATTAAGATATAGGGTCGAGAAATTATGATGCTGGAAGAACTCGGTTTTTACTTAGAGAAAAAGCTATGGTGATATTTTTTGAAAGGCACGTAAATTTCTTCTAGGTTGAATGTGTAAAAATATCGATCAACAATGGTTGCTGATCGATACCTCTCATAACATGTTTCATCTCGACCTGTTCTGACGAAATCCTTGCCTTCCAGTTTTTTTTTCTCCCCACCTCTTTCCTTCTCACTTAACGACCTTTCTTACTGATTCGTTAATTGCCATGATTGGAGAACCAGACCATTGTTTTTCTGACGAATGATAACAAAAGGCTGAGGGATTTTTATTGTAGGTCCACCTTATAGAGGGTATCATCGATCAAGTCGAGGGAACGGTCCATGTTTCCTGGGTGCAACCAAGGGTTCTAGGCATTCCACAGATCAAATCCCTGCGAGACCGACTGGACAGTTGGGTGGATAAAGTGCATTCGACTTTGCTTTCAGTCGAGGCCGAGACGCCTGATCTAGTTGCATCGTAATCCTCTTCATTGCATCTCTAAACAACTTAAGCAGAGGGAGGAAGCAAAAAGCCAGAAGAAACTACTGATCCTTCATAAGATTCTCATGTGCTGGCTGGAGCTATCTTGCCTCCAGCTTTCTTGAACTATTTTTCTAGGAATCAGAAGCCTCTACGTCTTAGTTTTGAAAGTGAGCATGGATTGGAGGAGTTGAGAAACGGACTTAAAGAATGGTTATTGGACTTCCCTTCTGTATTTGTTACTTTTGTTGCATTCAATTGAGATTTAATGAGCTCCATGAGGATCAGTTTCATCCAAAGTTTAAGATATCTTATAAACTAGACTTCATAAAAAAAAAAATTGCAAGAATAATCTTATTCTAAGGAGTAGAGAGAAGTGGAAAGTGAAGCCATGTTTTTCTTCCTTTTTTGGGCTTCCTTTTGACACTATCTATGAAACTCAACAAAGAAACCTCATTGTTGTCTAACAAATGGAGATGAGCTCACATCTGTGCTATAGAAGGAATCCTCAGGTCCACCATAGTAAGGCCTCTCTTTCTCCTCATCCCACTTCACTACTTCTCTTATATACTTGAATGCCTCATCAATCGTCACTCGGTCCCTCGCTCTAGCTTGCCACACGAAAAGCTTACGACCTGTGATGGATTGATAAAGGTCTTTGAATTTCATAGCTACATAGTAGTAAGCTTGATGAGACAGTGACTGGTTGCTATGCAGCGGTCGCACGGGGCTGAAATCATTAAACCATTCGCAGACATTCAATGATGCTCGATTTACTTTCTCTTCAAAGAGATCGTATTTGTTGAGTATCAACACGAATGGGGTATTTTTGAAACAAGGGTGTCGGACCATTGCCTCGAAAAGCTCCTTACTCTGCATCATCTTGTTTTGTAATAGGTTTCCGCTGCTGTTACCTTCTGGGGCACGAGACAATTGATCGAAATCACTAAGCGCAACGCAGAAGACGACAACTCGAACATCTTCAAACATCTCTACCCATTTGCACCCTTCATTCATCCCCTTGGCACTTACCCTTATAAGTTGGTATCTGTAACGATAGATACAAGCCAATGAGTCAAAACACTTATAAGGGGAATTCTTGGCTTAGAATGGGAGAATATAATACCTAGTAAGAGGTGGGGGCGGAGCTTCAAGATTATCAGTGTAAGTCTCAGACATTGGACTCCGATCATCAAGTGAAAATTCCATGAAAGCCAATCCATTCCCTTGGGTTACCCCTTCTGCATACAAGATATCTCGATCAGAAGGTTCATATTCATTGCTTGAAACCTCCACTGCCTGCAAACAATCACAAATTCTAAGCATTTTCCATAAAGAATTCAATCATTCCTAAACAAAAAAGATGAAACGTGATGATGGCAGACGATGTTATCACCAATAAAAACGTTCTGGTTTTGAAATTTGAGTATGTGATGGATTACCCTGCTTAAGAAGTACTCGGCAACATCGGGAAGGAAGTGTAGCTCGTCTTTTCTCTTGTACGTTTCCTGGATTGCAGGATCCTTCCATAGCTCTTCAACTAATGGAGCATACTCACGAGTTGCAGCAGGGAAGAACGCGTCCAAATCTCCAGTAGCAATGATATCGAGGAGCCAATCGGAAAAATGTTTCAACCTTGGGTTGATGGAGTAAATGCATTCGCTAGCTTCCCTCTCTCCATCTGTAACATTTCATTAAATAAGTACAATCTTTAGGGAGAGACTTCTAGCCTGATCTAATCATAAAGCCCAATGAACATTGCAAAAATTACCAGTTTCGGGAGCTCGACCTTCCTGGGAACTTCGAACCTTTTTTCGGTTCATGAATTCCTCCTCAAAGCGTTCTCGACCATCAAGCAAGATGCTAAGATACTTGTACATATTACTCTGAATCATAAGTTTGATGTCTTGAAGTTCTTCTTCAGTAAATCTGTTCCCATACAAAAATTTTCCCTGCCCAAAAAAGTAAACATTGAAGATAGTGGATGGAATTGTTTCATTTCTAATAGATTTTAAACGCGACCTTATCAAGGCCATTTCCTTTGCAACGCCCACAACCTTCCCAGAGATAAATTCCCGGTCATTACCTCAAAATTGCAAGATAAAATCTTTCGTTTTCTTTTTATACAATACGTCAAACAAACCTCTTATCTTCTAAAGCTTAATGGCCCACCAAAATATTAGTAGAAACCAGAAGCCAAAAGAACACATGCATTTATATATCCATCCTAGTTTATGATCCACAGGTCGGTTGGAGAGGAAAACGAAGCATTTTTTATAAAGGTGTGGAAACCTCTCCTTAGCAGACACGTTTTAAAAACTTGGAGGGGAAGCCAAAAGGAAAAGTCGAAAGAGGACAATATCTGCTAGCGGTGGGCTGGGCTATTATAAACGATATTAGAGCCAGACACTGGGCGGTGTACCAGCAAGGACGCTGAGCCCCAAAAGGGGTGGATACCGAGCTGTGTTTCAATGAAGACGCTAGGTCCCGAAGGGTGATGGATTGTGAGACCCCACATCGATTGGAGAGAGTAACGAGTGCCAACGAGGACGCTGGGCTCCAAAGGGGGTGGATTGTGAGATCCCACTTCGGTTGGAGAGGGGAACAAAACAACTTTCTAAGGGTGTGGAAAACTCTCCCTACTGGACGCATTTTAGAAACCTTGAGGGAAAACCCGAAAGGGAAGGCCCAGAAAAGACAATATCTGCTAGCAATGGGCTTGACCTGTTATAATTGTATCCCAAAATTAAAAAGAAAAAGTATAAACTTAGATTTGTCGAAAGGTCTGATGACTCTTACAAAAAATCGTGGTTGTCTAGATTGTACGAACTAACTCTACATAGATACATTTAAGTTTCTACTTCCCTCCACTTCCTACATTAAGTTATGTTACATGATTCCGTACTTCAAATGTAATATTGGGAAGATTGAAAAGCCCAAGGAAGTGAAGATCTAAGTACAAAAATAACGACAATAATGATTTCATGTTTACCTGCTTAAAGATTGTGCTAGTTCCGGAGCCTTCAATCCCAATGAGAAGAAGTTTCTGAATCCTCTTTTGTTGCTCAAAATAGTTGGGAACTGTTGTATGATTGCTAGCCTCTTCTCTCACTCCATGGGGTGGCTGACCATGGGGCACGGGCAATGAGAACAAAGCACATACAAAGCGTGTTGAAGCCTGCCTTAACCAAAGCATATATAAGGTTCTTGATATCAAAAAGGATAAATTTGACATAGGTTAGCCTTCATTCAAAAGGTTTTATGTGTTCACCTTCTCCCAAATATTTCCTCTGATATTGTTCTGACCTTCTTCCTCGTAGCGACCATCGTCGTAGACCCAAAAATGGGTGTCGCGTGGGCATTGTACGTTTGCCAACTGAAAAGTTCATAGCATTGAATACGTTTAGTTATACCAGATACCGCAAGCCATTAGACATCTAAAGGGAACCGAGTTCATATTAAGAACTTTTTTTAGTAGACATCAAGATAATTTTAGTGCTGAAAGGAAGCCAATGAAATAAGCTTAAGAGTTCCATCAAGGCATTCATGTGACAAGGAGGCTGAAAACAGTGTGCAATACAGGTCAGTTAAAGTGCAGTCTCCTCTATAGATAGATGTTACGTGATGTGCCCAAGACCAGCCACCAGAACAACCAACTCAATATATTTATACATATAGTTCTATAATGGCCTAAGTCCACCGCTAGTAGATATTGTCCTCTTTGGGCTTTCCCTTTCGGGCTTCCCCTCAAGGTTTTAAAATGCGTCTCCCTAGGGAGAGGTTATAACATTCTTATAAGAAATGCTTTGTCCCCCTCTCCAACCGATGTGGGATCTCACAATCCACCCCCCTTGGGGGCCCAGTGTCCTCGCGGCACACCACCCGGTGTCTGGCTCTGATACCATTTGTAACGGCTCAAGCTACCACTAGCAGATATTGTCCTCTTTGGGCTTTCCCTTTCGGGCTTTTCCTTTCGGGCTTCCCCTCAAGGTTTTAAAATGCGTCCACTAGGGAGAGACTTCCACCCCCTTATAAGGAATGCTTCGCTCCCCTCTCCAACTGACGTGGGATCACACAAGTTCTTACATTTTCCATATAACTTTTTCAATATTCAAGCTGACTAAGGATTACAAGTATTCAGATTCTCCATCTAAAGAGGCAATACTGTACATCATCTCCTCCATATTCTTTTTCCTTGATCATTTATGACATAGGGCACTATGTATGATATAAAAAATTAACAGTTAACAGTTTCAGAAACAAAACAAAGGGCATTAGAATGCCTATATTCCACCTTATGAAGCCAAAAGGTGTACCTTAAGCACCCTTAATTCGAGTCTCGTGATTTCTCGACCATTGATGTAAACTTCGGTGTTTCCATTGCTTGCGTGCGGGCTAAGTTTGCCAGTGAAACTTAAGTTCGAACTAATGATTCTATCTGGTTTTTCTCCTTCCTGTCAGGTCAACACAAAAGTACTACATGAAGTTCTAGTGGCAGAAGCAAAGGTCACATGGCCATACATTAAGTACACATAGAAAAGCTAACGCCAGAAAATTATAGTTACCTTTCCCCAGAGACCAGATTCTTTGTCATACCAATATCTTCCGGGTTTCAGTTTCTGTGGAGCAAGAGGGCATCCAAGTAATTCTGCCATCTCTTCGGATCGTAGGGGTGATCCATTTACAATCAGCTGTTCGGGGCGAAGTTGATTAGCAGGACATTCTTTCTCTGCTTTCATAATCTGCTTCACTTCCAAAGGACTAAGTAGTCGAGACAAGACCCTCGAATGCTTGCCCAATTTTGACCTCTTCGACTCATCTATAGGATCACCAATGCAAGTTACACATTTACGCCCTTCAGGCATCGATCCCATGGCTCTAAGCACACAGTTGCCGCAATACTTGGCATCACAGACAAGACATGACTCCTTTGTTTCCCACTTTCCTTTGCCACACCTATAACATACCCGACTTTTCTTTTTCTTTTTCTCTTTCGAAACTCCTACGTACTCGGGATACACTTGCTTCTCGACGCTAAGTTCTTTTCGATGGGAGTGATCAACAGTATTAAAAGTGACAACGGGTGCTCTTCTTGCATCAATAACTACTTGTTTAGGTTGATTGCTAGGTGGGTTGTGAACTGAAGCTGGGGAGGCAGAAGGTGAAGCTGAAGAAAAATCATGGTTTTGCAAGACGGATACTACAGACTCTGAACTTCCTGATGCCCTTGGGCTCTGAGCAGGCGAACTCGTGACGCCAGCAATACGAGAGACAGGCAAAGGAATTGGTTCGATCGTTGGAGGACCGTCCTTTGCAATGGACCTTTGGGATTCAGAAAGAGGTTCAGCAACTGGAATTGAACGAGAATTTATGTCAAGCGGTTCGATTCTTGGAACGTCATGGACTACTGGTGGACCCTCGTACTCCATAGCTATAGAGTAATCTAGATCGCTAGCACTTTCAGGGAGAGATGCTCCAGGTGGGAGCATCTTCTTCACCAATTCCTTCCAGTTTTTTTCCCCCCTTCTTTCGGGTTCGACCGACATATTGCTAGATTTACAGCGGAGTACTAAATCCAAACTTCTGAACACTTCTTGAGATAGAAGAACTCAAATTTTATATATGATTCCCTACAACAGCATCCACGAGTAAAGCTTAATCATCTCCTCAATCAACAGAGACAATGGCAAGAGATATAAACACAAATCCTGACACGAAGAAGGCTCCAACAAAAACATTCATCAGAGCCTGGATTGATCGCTCCTAGTTCAACCAAATCACATCAATGACAGAAATCAAACTCAAAATCTCAAGAGAAAGAACAGAATGCTAAGAAAACTTCAAAATCAGAAGGCTCCATTCATCAAGGTTTTCGATCACGAAGTTTCCAGTCAAAATCAGGACATCCAAAACGCAAATCAAACAATAGTTTTCAAAACCTTGAAAAAAGCAGACGAACGCACCTCTACAATCCAAGAGTTGAAAAAATCAGAGTCAAACAAATTATAAACAAACAAAAAGATAAAGAACAGCAGAGCACGCCCAACAAATCCACAAGAATCAAATATTCAAAGCGAAGACTATTTTACCAGAAGATAATAGATTAAAAAAAAGGGGAAAACTAGAGAGAGAGAGAGAGAAATACCTTTTGAAGAGTAAACAGTTTCGCTTTTAGAGAGAGTCAAAATGGAAATGGACGAGGAAAGTGACAAAATGAAAGCGAATCGTTGAGATTGCGAAGCGAAGGAAGCCAGAGAGATGGCTTTTTGAGGTTTGATTGGGGGTTTTGGAACCCAAAAGGCAAAGCCTCTGCGAAACCCACCACCATGAACGCAAGAACAAAAGATGAAGCCCCTTCCAGAGAGAGAGAGAAAGAGATGAAATACAGTACGGAGTTCGGAGAGAGAGCAATGGGTGTAAGGCTATTGCCAAATTCACAGACGTCTAACCCACCTCTTTGCACTAATGTCCAAATCTCAATATTTTAATTAAATATTTTACTTTATATTTATAATATATATTTACTTTAAATATATAATTACCAGTTGAATTATAGTCAAGTTTACAGCAGTATTACAACTCTTTACCGGCCGTAATATTTGTATTAAAAAGTATTAAAATAATCGTCATCGTCACTCCAACTATTATATCGTTAATTCTTATCCTATATAGTTATTTTTCCATTTCTTTAAAAAATTATATTTTTTTAATTACTAGTTGTAGCTATCTCTATGTAGCTGTTTTTCAATAACGGTAATAGCCCAAGTCCACTACTAGCAGATATTGTCTGTCTGCTTTTGCCCGTTACGTATTGTTGTCAGTCTCATGGTTTAAAAACGCGTTTAAGGAGATACTTACACACCCTTATAACGAATATTTTGTTCCCCTTTCCAACCGACATGAGATCTCACAATCCACCTCTCTTGGGGGCTAACGTCCTTGTTGACACACCGTCCGGTGTTTGGCTCTAATGCTATTTGTAACGGTCCAAGCCCATTGCTAACAGATATTGTCTGTTTTGGCCTATTATGCATCCCAGTCATCTTCACAGAGGGAGCCGTTTTCACATTTTTATAAGAAATGTATTCGGTTTTAAACCAGATCTCTGGACCTTCCAAATCAACCTATTTAATAATAATTATATAATTTACTTTAAAATTTAGCGTATAATTTAATTTATTGTTAATTTAAACATAATTTAGTAGCTAATATATTAATTAATTAATTAGTTATATATTAATAAAACTACTCGATTTAGAGGGTAAGTAAGAGAGATATTGATTAGGGAGAGAGGGGATAAAGACAGAGTGGGTCCCAAATTTTAAACAGACAGTTTCGTTGAAGTAATCCACGCGCCTATGAAGCGCGTGGGCTTAAATGCGGACACGACCAAGATATCTGGTGCCATGGAATTGCTGTTTGAAAGCGCTTCGTAGAGCGTGGGAAATCATCTCGATTTTGACGGTAACGGTATCGTTAACTTTGACGCTATAATTTTAGTTTGCACCATTTATTCATTAATGTCATTTGACTTCAATTTAATAACATTTTCTTTTAATTATTTTTTTAAGTAATTACTTTCAGTCTAATTTATTTAGTTTTGTATTTTTTAATTTAAATTTATTTACTTTTAATAAATTGTAATTTTAGTTACTTAAAATTAAAATTAATTTTAAGCTAATTAAACAATAATCATGTAACAAAATAACATTTAATTATTTATTAAATATTTGTTTTTTCAATGCAACAATCGTTTGAATATTTATCAGTAATTAGTTGGATTATTATCATTTTCCTAAATATATAGCTTAAAAAAAAGTTAATTTTTGTAATTTAAATTAATAGGTTGGTTAAATATTATGTTTAATAAAAATAAATTATTTAGTGAAATCGACCTTCACACGCTTGACAGCTCATCATTAAAAACGTGAGTGGGGGAATTATTATGAAAATGACAACATTACGAGAACAAAAGAAATTGGGAGGTGGAAAAAGCAATAGAAAAGGTGAAACACTTTTTTGAATATTGAAATTTGAATTTAATTTTTTTAAATATTTTTTTTAATATGACGTGTTTAATCTTAAATATAAATTAATTTTTTATTTTAACCCTACTGTAGGTAAATTATGATCCAAATCGAGGGTTCAAACTACAATTTTGACATTTGATGAACTTGACATTCTACTGCATTTTTGTAAAATGGTGTTATTTACTCATTGTTTCTAAGTGTGAAGGTTATTCCATGGACCCAAGATGTTTTGTCTTCACTCATTTTGTAACGACTAAGATCCACCGCTAGCAGATATTATCCTTTTTGGGCTTTCCCTCAAGGCTTTAAAAGGCGAGGGAAGGTTTCCACACCCTCATAAATGGTGATTTGTTCTCCTTCCCAACCGATATGGGACATCACAATCCACCCTCCTCCTTAGGGGCCCAGCGTCCTCGCTGATACTCTTTCCTTCCTCCAATCAATGTGGGACCGCCCCCAAATCCACCCCCTTTAGAGTCCAATGTCCTTAATGGCACACCGCCTCGTGTCTACCCTCCTTCGAGAAACAGCGAGAAGGCTAACATATCGTCCGATGTCTGGCTTTGATACAATTTGTAACGACCCAGATCCACCTCTAGCAAATATTGTCCTATTTGAGCTTTCCCTCTCGGACTTCTCCTCAAGGCTTTAAAACGCGTTTGCTAGGAGAAGGTTTCCACACTCTTATAAGATGGTTTGTTCTCTTCCCCAACCAATGTAGAACCTAACACATGTGCTGTCCCAATTCATTCATATACCACTGTTTTACTGGGGTCACCCAAAAAACAAATTTCAAATTTCAAAATCTAATTAGAGATCAAATTCAAAGCTTCCCGTACAAAACATGCCATTTTTTTTTTAACCTCTCAAATACCAAATGATGAACATATTAATTTTGAAAATCCACTATTAGACTAAAACTTGCTTACGTGTCAAATTTGTATTGGATGAATACAAAATTATTAGGTTAAAAATTAAAATAGATAAAAGTATTAAAAAAAAGGAAATAAGTTATTTATTTATTTATTAAATATTGCGGATTGTTCGTTCGCGTATAACAATCCCACGATAAACTGTTCAGACCTTGGCGGCAGCGGAACAGCAATTACCGGCGACCGACGATCACTTCCGGCAATATCAGGCCGGCGCCGACAGCCGCTAGAATCAGGCAAAACAATCTCGATCGAAAAGGTTAGAGAATGTCATTGAAATGCTAGTTTACGGCTTTGATTTTATTCAGTTCATATCTGAGATTCGTTTTGGTTCGATTAATCGTCTTCGCATCACTCGAATTAAGAAATCGATTGCGTTCTTGAAACCGAAAAGCCCTAAAATACAGAGAGGCGCCGACCTGTTCGATTCTCAAAATTTACTCAAAATCAAGATAAATTTCCTGGCACAATTGAATCAAGAAACCACAAGATATAATCCGAATCAAGATTCTTCTTCGGAAATCGTAATGTAATTGCGAATGCGAGGGCACTCGGAAGATCTTGAAGGTCGATATCGAAATTGTAATTGCCAACGCCGACGGAGAAATGGTGACGAATAGATCGAACATTTGGAGTTCTACAACGACGGATGGGATTCCACAAAGAAGATTGGTCCAAAGATCGTCGGTTGCGGGGAATTTTTGTCCAGCACCGCCGAAGATGGGTCCAAAGTGTCTTCGTGGGAATCCAAGGCACGAAGAACTGAGCAGAGTACGGAAAGGCAGACTTCTTACAAATTTTTTTTTTATATTATTTTAATTTTTTAGGTTAAATAAACAAAAAAAGATCATTAAATTTTGTATTTTAAGTAAAAAAAAAAAAAAAAAAAAAAACTTAATTTTTTTTAATTACCCTTTAATTTTTAAAAATGTTTCAAAAATACCATTTTCTAAGAAAAACATTCTTAAATTTTTTTAAAAACTTAAAAAATAATAGAAAATTTCTAAAAATTAAAAAATGGGATAATTTGTTTTCGTTCTTATATTATTAATAATAATAAATTATGGTGTTAATACTACTTTTAAACTTTAATAAGTATCTTTTTAACAAAGTTGATTTAAAAGGTCGAAGGTATTAATAAAACTTTTATTTTTAAAGATATTATTGTAATATTTAAAATTTTAATAAAATCTTCTACGATTTTAAAAATATTTTTTCTATCCATTCTAATTTCTAACAAAAAATAAATAAAATTTGAATATTAAAAATGGAAGAATAACGAAAAAGGTGAGTGGGGGTCGAGGACGAGGTGATTTTAATGATAGCCACGTGGATGGCAGTAATTAAGTGTGGAAGTGGGACCCATAAGGTCTGAGGTTAAAGCTACCAAATACGTGAGATAGAGACAGAATGCGCTAAAAGCAAAAATACAACCTTTTTTATTTTTTTTATTTATTTTTATTTGGTGAGAAGAGAGATATCCATAAAGGGATCAGATATGATTTTCTTCCTATTTCCTAAACGCACGCTGCCAGGTCAGCTTTCAATCATTAATTAATAAACCAACAAAATACACCAAAATTA